CCCCCCCCCCCCCCCTTTGGAGTTCATAAGAACAAAAAAATACCTGAACAAAACAAGACATTACTCATTTATACCTAAGAATTGAGGACCACAAATGTAAATATCTAAGAATTGTAGACTGAATACGAAAAACCACTGCATTTGCTCTAACAACAACGACAACAACAACAACAACAACAACAACAATAATAATTCAGATAATGACATAGCTGAAAGTGAGTTCTGATTTTTACCTGCTTACAAAAAAGGGCTTTAAAATCAGTTCCAAAGTTGAAGTTTGGATCGGAAACAGGAGCTGGAATCGCCGGAAAATTGCTTCGGGAAGAAAAAGTGATTGAATGGCATGAAATGAAGGGTGTAACAAGAAAATCAGAGAGTAATTTCTTAGGGAAATCAGCAGAAATTTCTGAAAAATTGGAAGGAAATAAGTGAAAACAAAGATCAGGATTGATTCAGAGTGGGATACAGCGAGAGAAGATTATTTTGTCATTCCAATCCAAGGATTCAGATGAGACACAAAACGACGACTAGGACGACGAAGGATTCCTCCTCGCCCTTCCATTGAAACCCACTTTTTCCCCAATTTGTCATTTTCTCAAGTTTTTTCAATATGTAATTACTCTTTTTTAATACTAGTAAATTTACATATATTTTTTTCATTCATTCTAATTTTCCTCTATCCAAAATTGGTTTTTAATTCCAATTTAGGGAAAATTATTTAAAATATTTTCACCTTTACGCATTTTTTAAAAAATAATTTCATTTTTCAATGTCACACAAAATAATTTTCTTTTTTTCTTGTGTGTTTTGGATCGACGTTAATTATGTAACGATCGCCAAATGATTTTTTTCAAAAAAAACTGATTTTATGAAAGTGAAAGTTGGAATGATTTGAGGCAAATTTGCTTGGGTAATTTACCTAAATAGGACTAAACTTAATGAATTTCTTAAAATATGACTATATATTTTTATTTCTCAATATAGGATTATTAGTCATTAACTATCAGTCATTATTCAACTAAATGTCTAGTATCACTTGGACATTTTCTTCTACCTAGTCATTATTAAGTCCTATTTAGGGAATAAAAAAGTTTAAGTCCTACATTAGAAAATTACTTATGTTTTAGTCCTATTTAGTGTAAATTCCACAATTTTGTATTTACTAATTTTTTTCAGTTTTTAAATTCTAAATAATATTTCTAAAAAAAGTATGCTCTTTTCGAATAATTGTGTCTCTTTTGAAAATATATCGGCTCAGAACTTCTTTTGTAGTGTCATTTTAGAGAAGAAAAAATGTAATGAATTATCAATATAAAACGTATTTTGATAAGATTTTACAAAATAAGTTCAATAAAATTAATCCTGTATCAATAGTTAATATAAATTTTATTTATTTAATAATAAAAATTTATCCATATTATATTAATTGCAAAAAGTCAAACTTACGAAGTATAGTTCTGTAGTACTCGATCTCTCCGTCCGGAAATGTTCTTCCCATTTGACTTTTTACGTTCTCTAGGATTGTACTTTGACCATTAATATCTTTATTTATGTATGGATATATTTTATAAAAATTTGATATTTGAAAACTATATTTCAAAATGAATATATTCATATTAAAGTTATATCGTAATACAATGTATTTTTAATAACATATCATAATCAAAATTTACAAATTTTGATCAAGAAAAGTCAAATGGAAGAATATTTTTGTACTAAGGTAGTATATACTATATATATATTGAACGAACGAGTGCCAAAGACGGAAAGAGCTCACTCACCAAAGACCGAAAGGTTTCCCATTATTTGTTCTCAACAAAAAAAAGAAATAAATAAATAAATAAATAATGGGCCCTTCTTCTTCATCTTCTTCTTCTTCTCTTATTGGGTCATATGCAGCGTTCTTCTTTATTGTGATGCTCTTCATCGGCGGCTCTTCTTCTGGTCAGCTGCTTCTATTATTATTCCTTTTATCATTTTCTTCATATATATATATATATATATATATATATATATATATATATATATATATATACTCCGTGTATATATATATATGTATATGTATATGTATATATATATATATGTATGTATGTATATGTATATGTGTGTGTGTATATATATATATATATATATATATATATATG